GTATTTTTTTCTTCACAAAAGTAAAAAAAATCAAAACGCTATCACGTTCTTAAAGATAATCTATTATATTTCTCCTTAAATTGAAGTATTTTAGAATTGGGGGTTTAGAATGTAATTGAATTATTTTGGAATTTAGGGTTTAGAATGAAATTGAATTACTTTGAAATTTGTGATTTATAATGAAATTGAGGAATGTTTTGTAAGTTTTAAAAGTTGGGGGACCTAAATTCAAGTGCCTAAAAAGTTCAATGACCATTTATATGATTTACCCTAATTTTCATAGGTGCGGGGACCATATTGCAAATGGATTAAATGTTTGGGGACTGTATTGCAAGTTTTAAAAGTCGGGGGACCTAAATGCAAGCTTCAGAAATGTTCAGTGACCATTACTATACTTTACCCTTTTTTTAATCAAATCCCAAATAAATAATTAAATTTTGATTGATACCAATTAATCCATTGACATTCCTTAATTTAACACCCAAATAAATCATTAAATGTAATTTGTATTCATACACTGTTTTTTAATGTATATAAAAGAAAAAGAGAAAAGAGAAGTTAAAGATTAGATGATGAAGAAATGTTTTAGGTTGAAGATAATTTTAGAGAGAAATCATTAGTCTAATTATCCCAGCTGTTTGTGGAAATGGTTGAAGGCCTGATGTAAGCTTGGATTAGATTTGAAATGAAAAAAAAAACCGAAATGACGGTGACGGATGGGCTGATAACAGTGTATCAGACAATGCATGCTCTTATGTTGATTACTATCAAAAGCTTTTTGCCTCTAATCTTTCTACTTTCCAACACAAAACCATCATCAAAATCTTCAACCCCAAACCATAAAAATCATTAATCGCCCCCTGTTTGGCGTTGAACCAAAAAAGAGAAAGGTGCCAAGATAATGAAGATGGAACAAAAAAAAAGGAGGGGGATTTAAATGATGAATACAGTAGAAGCTGTAGAATAATCCAATTAAGTTAACAACATATGCACCGCTCCTGGTATGCTTTCAGTGTTGAGCTGTTATGGTCCAAATACAATGTAAGCCAACCCTGCTGCCAAAATGTGGTGAGAGAAGGGAACATCTCTATTCCAACGGAACCAAAACAGTGAAACTAAGAAGAGGTGAAAGCGAGATTGTATTATAGTATTAATCATTCATGTATAAAAAACAAATCAATCGGCACCGAATGATGTGAGCAAAGTAAAAGTTCAAAGCTGGTTGGTTTGAGGACCACTTGCTTCTGCGAATTTGCTTGTAACACTCTAGACTAGTACGACACACAATCGATCGATATAAGATGTCGCACGAAACCATCAGAATGGCTAACCAACACTTTAATCTTTTCTTGTACTATAAAACGACCATTTCCACAAATAAAACATCCATGATATAATATAATTTAAAATTTTATATTAAGGAGCTCTCAAAATAAAGATTTACAATCAAAATATTACAGATTGACTCTTAATAAAATTTACTACTCAATTGATACAACAAGGTTTATAAAATATAAATGTCCTTCAAAAACTACTAAGACGTACTCTGAATCTGCACTGGGTCTAGACCTTGATCTATCTATTGCTCCTCAAACTCTCGATCTACTAACCTGCCCACGGAAAACAATCTGAAGGCTAAGCTAACTAGCTCAACGTCACACTAACAACTAAAACATACTAAAAGTTTGTCACTTATATGCTCAAGCTATTAAGTCTACTACTATCTAGTCTAGTGGTTTGTTATGTTATGCTTTAGTGAGTATACTCGTATACTCACTCTCCATTCTATGGTAGACTTCATGGTGTGGCTGAGGGTTATACATCTCGGAGCTCACACACCTCTCTAATCTACCAAGAATGTGGCCTCTGGAATCTCTACATCGGACACCACACTCACGACTAGCCCATTCCTTGAGTGTCGGTCCTTGCTTCCAAACTAGTCAGCTTAAAGTGCCTTGCGCACTCCCTAAGGATATCCGGACTAAATCTATACTTTCGATTCCACTGTATTTTCTAAAGGAACTAAGGATTCCTGGTTGTTTTCCCGAGCATTCAAACAGGGCTAGTCTTATTTCATCATACTTTATTCTTGTTTCTACGTTTGAATTAAACATCATTAATGTTTTCACTTGAAAGCTTATGTGAGGAAATATTGAAGTGTTATGGTATCTTGAGTCTAGTTCCCTTAAAAACTTATATTTTTGCCCAAAACAGACTGAAAGTATCGATACTAGCCTAAGAGTATCGATACTCATGCAAAAGTTTCGATACTTTATATAAGTACCGCTACTTTTAAACATTATGTTCTGCCCAGTTTCGAATCTTTCTAGGAGTTTCGAATCTATGACCCAAAGTTTCGATACTCTTGCCCAGAAACTCACGAATTTGCACAAAACAAAAAACAAGTATCGATACTATCGATATAATATCAATACTCTACCTGCAGAAGTCATAAAATACATACGAAAATGTTATATTTCAATCTAAAAGACCCTAATGAGGTTCCCTAACATTCTTTAAAGTCTTATGTAATTATAAGGAGCATAAATAAGGCTTTATATCATGCTTATAACATAAATCATGTAATCTACCATTAACATATAACACTAAGCTTCATAATTTACTCTCAAGCTAGAACTCATTTCTAATGATCACTAGGAGTATGGAAGAGTTGATAGTGTGTTACATTGTTTCTTGCTTGCTAGAAACTCTCTCAAGTTAACTAGGGGCAACTTCTATTTCCCTATTGCTTTAGAGTTTTCTCCCACATCGCTCACTAAACAAAGAAAAGAAAAGAGGTTTACTAACTAACTAAGCTCTTGGATTAAAGCTTAAAATGTTATAGGTAACGTGAATACACTATAACCAAGCTTGGATTCGTAGACCCCCTTAACTTCCATAAAACTTATTTTTGAAAACAAATTCTAAAACTTACAAAATGAAGCTTTAAACAAAGCTTGAAGAATGGAGAAAAACATGCTTACCTTGGCTACAACAAACTAAGCTTAGAATACTTGAAACTTGGCTCTTTAAAGGAAGAAGAAATAGAAACTAATGGAAGGAAGAAGACGAAGAGTGAGTGAGATATCATGGAGAGTTTGGTTACGTGAAATGATATAAAAAGAGGGGGAAAGTTTTCAGCTTTAACAAAAAAAGTAAACTACACTTTAGATCCTTCTTCTATTTACTTGCTTTTAAAAACACCACTTTCATATAACTATTGGGTCAATTTAAGCTCAATACTCTTAAGAATTGGTCTAAAATTGGTTTGGAAAATCTAATGGGTTGTACTGATGGGTTTCGGGTTGACTGAAACTACTAGTCCAAAATTCTGGACATTACATTGCTAGTTTTCACCATGGTTTTACATCCATCATTATAAGAAGATGGACTAAAATCCCGATATGAAAATAGTATCAATTATTGAGATTCGATTATCTGATTAACAAACAACAATTCACATATTTTTCTGAATGAAATGAAAGTTACTTTAACGTAGATAACATTTTTTAATATTAACATCTTTTGAATTGAGGAAGATATTTGTAAGTGAAAAAAATGTGAACTTCATTAAAAAATTTACAAAGAACATATAGACATGGAAATGGAACCATGTGTAAAGTGACTATACTTGGAACCAGCGACGGATCTATATGGTGCATGGGATGGGTTATTCCAAACTTTTTTGTATAATAGCGGACGTGTCGAAAAAAATAACGTTGTCCACGTGGGTTAACTTTGGAAAAGTGAGGACCACGTATAAAGGTAATCAGTCAAAATTCTCAGCTCCATGCTACTTGAAAAAAATCATCTTTAAATTTAATGATTAGACTCTATTGATATGCTCCTCAATCTGTCGTTATTAATCATTCTACTAATGATTTAATTACTACCCTCCCTTTTGTTCTTCATTACTGCTCTTCCTCATTATGCTTAATCCTCCAATTTCCTTTAAATTTGTTTGGTTTATCATCACCGCCCTGATACGACCACGTCATCCGAGCCCATCGAGGTGATGATGTGGCGATATCAGAACCGGTGGAATGTATAGAGTAGGTTGCAAGTGTAACGAGGGTTATGATTTGAATATTGGAAGGGTAGAATTTAGTGCCCGAGTAGTGTTGATCAGGGATTCAAAAAGAGGAGCGCAACCGCAATAGCGGTCGCTATTTCGCGGTAGCGCCGTAGTCTGAAATCGATAATCTGAAAAATTACGGTGGGTGGCGGAATCACAACAATAACAGTCTTTTACGGCCGCAATTTAGCGTCTAACAACAAATAACGTCGATAACGGGACGATATTCCTGTTATCCACAATTTTTCGCGTAAAAGAAACCCACTGTCATAGCTTGCTCTCATCATCAAAATAGAGCAAATATTAAAGAGAGAGAAAAGCAAGCAACGCCAGAGAAAGTAAGTAAGCCTCTTACCAATGGCTGAGAGTTGGTCGATAAGCAAATGGGTCTTCGTTTTTATGCTCATTCATCTTCTTCTTTACTTGCTGAAGATGGTATGTACATTCACTTTCCTCCATTTTTTTGAAGCTCTAATTTGCATTGTTTATGGATTATGTTTTTTGGGTTTCTTGCTTTTGTTTGAGAATTACATGCTGCTTTTGGGACTTTCTAATTTTTCTTTTGTTTTGGTGCTCTATGCATGTGTTTGCAAATGAGGATTGTTGGAGTGTTGTCGTGGAGAAGAAGACAAAGGCTTAGTCTAGGTTAAGGATTTGGGCTTGGGGTTCAATTTGAGTGAATATTTGGGTATTTAAATTTTTGGGTTGTTAAAACAACAGACCGTTTATAAATTGGATTTGATGTAGTTTTTTGGTGTATGGATCATGGATTTTAAATTAGATTAAGAATCCAATAAAAAATATGGTAAACTTGTTACCGTTTATAAGTTAGAAGCATATGTTGTTACCTTAAAATGTATGTGTCACGGTTGCAAGAGAAGACCAGGACGAGGAGATTAGAATTGAAGCGAGGGAATTTGGGGAAATGGACGAGAAATTAGGGATTGAGAGAAAAGAGAGAAAGGAATTAGGGATTTCAATCTCTAATGAGAAGGCTGAGGGGATTTACCTGGAGTTGCAGCAGAGGAAGAGTTGGGCAGAAGAGATGGGCTCAGACGTGGATCCAGTCAACAGCCCAAAGGAGGAAAATATCCAGCTGCAAGGAGTCTGTTAGAAAATCAGTTATACAGCTGTCCTCTTTTATTTGCTATAGTACATTGTAATCAAATAAATACTATGTACTAAGGAATGAGAAAGGGACCCGAGGAATGAATGAATTTCTGATTTCTGAAATCTCTCTGCTTTTCTTCTTCTAAAATCTCCATCTATTCGATTTTTCCTTCTCTATTCTCCTCAGTTCATAACAAATTGGTATTCAGAGCCAGTTTTCCTGGCATTAGCAAACTGGGAAAACAGAAAAAGAATCAAGTTATGGCAGAGTCGACTGAACTTACTGCCATTCAGCAGCATATTGAAAATTTATCAAAAAGAGTAGAACAAGTCAGTGATGAAACGAAACCTCCAAAATGGTGGGAGGAGCAAAACAACCGTCTAAACAATCTGGAATCGAAGATGAACACCAATCAAGCCTATATAGAACAAGTCCTACGAATATTAACGGGGAGGAACGATGACCAGGACATGGCAAGCTCAGAAAAGGAGCAGACTGTTACGCCTACTCCAACTAAGATTGAGGGAAAGAAATCGGTGATGGTGACAGTGATTAATGATAAGTCCAGATTCTCGTACAATATGGATGAACCAGGTATCCTCAAATCTAAACCCTATGAGTTGCAAATGGAAAATCAAACAAAGGATAGTAATGAGGCAAAAATGGTTCAGGGAGGGGCAGTAGGAAACACTGGATTTATACTTCCTAGGCCTAAAGTAGAGCTAAAAAATTTTGATGGAACTAATCCAAGAGGTTGGGTGCAAAAATGTCATAAGTTCTTTCATCTCTTTGGAATTCCTGAAGAGCAAAGAGTTGAGTTAGCTGCAATGTATTTAGAGGGAAAAGTTGAATCCTGGTTCGATGGTTATATCATGCAAAAAAATCGAGTACATTGGCATGAGTTTGAAGCAGACTTATGTCATCGATTTAGTGATATGCAGTATACAGATGTCATAGAAGAATTTAGTAAGCTAATTCAGAAAGGAACAGTGGAAGAATACCAAGTGAGGTTTGAAGAGCTTAAACCTTTCATTTTAATGCAGAATCCAACCTTGGGGGAGGAATTTTTTGTGTCCATTTTCATAAGTGGACTGAAAGAGGAGTTGAAACATAGGGTCAAAGCTCTCAACCCTAAAGAGGTAACTGAAGCTTGTAGGCAGGCGAAGTTATATGAGATTTCAATAGAGTTTGAAAGTAAAAGACAGAAACAGAATGCAAGATTCCCACCCTATCCCACCCAAACAACTTTTAACAAACCTGCTGCTAGTCCAACAACACAGAAGGTTCTACCAAATCCTTCTAACAAGAACAATTTGCTGGAGTATCGCAGATTGAATAATTTGTGTTACAAATGTGGTGAACGATTTCAACCAGGCCACCAATGCAAGTTACGACAGTTGAATGCTATGGAGGAATTGGATAACCAGGAAGAAGCAGTCATAACAGAAGAAGTTTTGGGAGAGTCAAGTGATAAAGAAGAGAATCTGGAAATTTCAGTCAATGCTCTCACAGGAAGCATTGGGTATACTACAATTAGAATTCAAGGCTTGATCAAGGGCAAACCTCTCAATATTCTTATTGACAGTGGTAGCACACACAGCTTCATCACTCCTAAGTGGGTTAAAGCTGGTACTGAGTTAGTTTCAACTCAACCACTAGCCATTACAGTTGCTAATGGTGAGAAATTATTCAGTTCAGCTAAGAGTAATCAATTATGTTGGATCATGCAAGACCATCAGTTTTTTCATGATTTTCGGGTACTTAATCTAGGCGGCAGCGATATGGTTCTTGGGGTTGATTGGATGCGCAAGTATAGTCCGATCCTGATGGATTTTAATGCCATGACTATTACTTTTGAGAAGGAGGGACAACAATTATCTATTCAAGGACATCAAGCACCATTCCTTATGAAAACAGTTTCAAATGACAAAATGCACAAGATTACTGCCAAGGATCCAGTTTTATTGGGAGAATTCTATTTCCTAACTATGGATACTGATGAGCAGCAGGTACCTTATGAGCTACAACCATTATTAGCCGAGTTTGCAGGAGTTTTTGAGGAACCTAAAGGATTACCTCCTGCACGAGTACATGACCATGCAATTACACTTAAACCGGGTGCAGCCCCAGTCAATTTGCGGCCCTACAGATTTCCACATCATCAAAAAACAGAGGTGGAAAGACAAATTTCTGAGATGCTAGTAGCATCTGTTATTCAAGCAAGCAAGAGTCCTTTTGCCTCACCTTGCTTACTTGTGAAAAAAAAAAAGATGGTTCTTGGAGATTTTGCGTCGATTATCGATAACTAAACTCTCAAACAGTAAAAAATAAATTTCCAATACCAGTGGTGGAGGACTTATTCGATGAATTACATGGAGCGGCCTATTTTTCTAAGTTAGACTTAAGGTCTGGCTACTGTCAGATTCGAATTCAGCCTACAGACATCTACAAAACTGCCTTTCGCACTCATCATGGACATTTTGAATTCAAGGTAATGCCCTTCGGTCTCACTAATGCACCTGCTACATTTCAATCTCTTATGAATGATCTGTTCACTTCCTATTTGAGAAAGTTTGTTTTGGTATTTTTTGATGATATATTAGTGTACAGCACTACATTGACTGCTCATGCACTACACTTGAGAAAAGTTTTGGAAATTTTGACACAACATCAGTTATATGCTAAGAGGAGTAAATGTTACTTTGGCCAAAAACAAGTGGAATATTTAGGCCATATTATTACTGCTCAAGGGGTTTCCACTGATCCATCAAAAATTGCTGCTATAAAAAATTGGTCATTTCCTCAAAACTTAAAATCTCTTCGAGGATTTTTGGGGCTAACAGGCTATTATAGAAGGTTCATCAAAGGCTATGGTGCTATTAGTCGGCCATTTACAATGATGTTAAAAAAGGATGGTTTTACATGGAATCCTACAGCAGTGACAGCCTTTAATCAGTTGAAGGAAATAATGTGTCAAGCTCCAGTTTTGGCTCTTCCGGATTTCACTAAAGAATTTTGCTTAGAAACTGATGCGAGCTCAGAAGGTATAGGGGTTGTTTTATCCCAAGGAGGTCGTCCTTTGGCCTACCTTAGCAAAGCTTTAAGCACTAAAAACATGGACCTTTCTATCTATGAGAAGGAATATTTGGCTATTCTTTTGGCAGTCTCGAAATGGCGACATTATCTTGAATGTGGTTCGTTTGTCATTAAAACAGACCACGAGCCCTTGAAGTATCTATTAGAGCAGAAACTCACAACAACAATTCAGAAGAAATGATTGACTAAATTTTTGGGTTTGGACTACACAATTCAATATAGAAAAGGGCGTACGAATGTTGTGGCTGATGCTTTGTCAAGACAATTTATGCAGGTGGGTGAGTGTCAACAGATGGGGGCCATGATTATAATTCCAACTTGGGGGACGGATATTGAACAAAGCTATGAAAATGATGATGATGCTAAAGAGTACATTCGAGCAGTAACTATTAACACTGCTAGTGTTCCAAATTGGAAGTATTCAAGGGGAGTGTTGCGTTACAAAAATAGAGTTTATGTGGGACAATCTGGTGCTTTACGATTAAAGATATTGCAGATTTTACATGATTCTCCTCATGGAGGGCATTCGGGTATTCAAGCTACATACCAGCGGGTGAAAGCTTATTTTTATTGGCCTAAACTTAAAAGCATGGTCTCTACTTATGTACAATAGTGTGAAGTCTGCCAACGCATTAAGGTGGAGCATGTGGCTAAACCTGGGCTGCTACAACCTATTCCAATTCCTCAACAAGCATGGGAGGTGATAACTATGGATTTTATTGGAGGTTTACCTAATTCTTTGCATAAGAATTGCATTTTGGTGGTGGTAGATAAACTGACTAAATATGCTCATTTTTTTAGCACTTTCTCATCCCTACACTGTGATAGAAGTAGCTAAATTATATTTAGATCAGGTTTATAAGCTTCATGGTCAACCTAAGATGGCCATTTCAGATCGTGACAAGACTTTCACTAGTCTTTTTTGGAAAGAACTAATGAAGCAGTTGGGAACCAGCACACTCTTTAGCACAGCTTACCATCCTGAGACGGATGGTCAAACTGAGAGAGTGAATCAGTGTCTTGAACAGTACTTAAGGGGTTTATGTTTCCTAAAACCTACTCAATGGGCAAGATGGTTACCTCATGCTGAGTGGCGGTACAATACAAACTATCATACAGCACTTAAAATTACCCCTTTTGAGGCACTCTATGGATATAAACCTCCTACAATGTTATGGTGTTCTGAATCTAATGTCAACAGTGTTCAGACATTATTACAAGACAGAGAGCAGATCAGACAGATTGTGAGAGATCAGTTACAGCAAGCCCAGAATCGTATGAAACAACAAGCTGATAAAAAACGCAGTGAAAGAAAATTTGATGTGGGTGAGGAGGTGTACCTGAAACTACAACCATATAGGTAGACTTCCCTGGCAATCAGAAAAAACTTGAAGTTAGCAGCTCGTTTTTATGGTCCTTACAAAATTCTAGAAAAGATTGGTGAGGTTGCTTATAAGTTGAACTTACCAGACACTGCTCAAATACACCCTGTTTTCCATGTCAGCCTTTTGAAGAGGAAATTGGGAGAGAAGACAGTGGCTTCATCCGAACCTCCTCAGGTAATAGATGATGGACGATTGAAAGTATTTCCTGAGAAGATTTTAAGCAAACGAATTGTAAAACGAGATAACCGTGCTGTTACTCGATTACTGGTTCGATGGACAAATTTGAGTGCTGAAAACGATACCTGGGAAGATTATACAGTCTTGCGTGCCCAGTTTCCTGAATTCGATCCTTGGGGACAAGGATCTGCTGATGGAGGGGGTATTGTCACGGTTGCAAGAGAAGACCAGGACGAGGAGATTAGAATTGAAGCGAGGGAATTGGGGGAAATGGATGAGGAATTAGGGATTGAGAGAAAAGAGAGAAAGGAATTAGGGATTTCAATCACTAATGAGAAGGCTGAGGGGATTTACCTGGAGTTGCAGCAGAGGAAGAGTTGGGCAGAAGAGATGGGCTCAGACGTGGATCCAGTCAACAGCCCAAAGGAGGAAAATATCCAGCTGCAAGGAGTCTGTTAGAAAATCAGTTATACAGCTGTCCTCTTTTTATTTGCTATAGTACATTGTAATCAAATAAATACTATGTACTAAGGAATGAGAAAGGGACCCGAGGAATGAATGAATTTCTGATTTCTGAAATCTCTCTGCTTTTCTTCTTCTAAAATCTCCATCTATTCGATTTTTCCTTCTCTATTCTCCTCAGTTCATAACAGTATGATGGAAAAATGGGTCATCAAGTATAATTATTATATTTTAGGATAAATTGTGCGAATTTAAAAAAAAAATCACGATTGTGACGAAATGATCGCGATTGCATCTGTTATGTCCGCAACCGCGATAAACGCGACGCGACCGAAAACGTGACCACGAACGCTATTTAAATCCTTGGTGTTCAGAGAGGGAGAGGGAGAGGGGGAGAGAGAGAGAGGGGGGGAGGGAGGGAAGGAGAGGGAGGGAAGGAGAGGGAGGGGGAGGGGGAGGAGGGAGGAGGGAGATACTTCATGTAAGCCTTCTTCCTTTAAGCTTTTTTATGTTAATAATGGCTTTTAGGTGGTGAATATGTTTTCCCCCTTTATCTCATCTGGGTTTTAAACAAAGTTGGAGAGGGGGAGGGGGGAGAGAGAGGGGGGGTGGGAGGGAGGGAGGGAAATGGAGGGAGAGAGAGGGAGAGAGAGAGGGAGGGAGGGAGGGAGAGGGAGAGGGAGAGAGAGAGGGAGGGTGGGAGGGAGGGAGAGGGAGAGGGAGAGAGAGGGAGAGGGGGAGGGAGTGGGAGGGAGGGAGGGAGAGACCTCATGTAAGCCTTCTTCCTTTAAGCTTTTTTATGTTAATAATGGCTTTTAGGTGGTGAATATGTTTTCCCCTTCATCTCATCTGGGTTTTAAACAAAGTTGTAAGATTTAAAGTTTTTACTCATATTTTCATACTTCAGAGTGGCATCTCACCGAGTAAATTAAGGATGAAGCTGATGGGCCTCATCACCATCGAAAGAATAATGGATCAAACAACAATTCTTCATGAGCATCTCCTTCTAGGATAAATGATGCCGAGTTTGTCAACAGTCTATTCGCCTCAAAGAATGAAGATTTCGATGAGGAAGGTTTGTTTCTTTCTCTCCCTTTTTTCTCATTTTTATGACGACGAGGAAGGACTTATCTGCTTGTTGCTTGGCATAGGACTGATGAATATAGCCAAGTGTTTTATAAAATTTGCATGCTGATTTAGAACTTATTTGATTGATATACAGTTCCCAGCTTAGATGTTGCACCAGTTAAAATGTCCTATGAGATAGTGTTGGATTCCAGCCTAAATGATCAAATTTCTAACGAAGCAAAGGAGTCCCTGACACAGGGGAACGTGGAATCGGGCTGTGCTAAATTGCAGCAATGCTCAAAGAATGATAATGGTAATTCCAGTGCCATTCATCCAAAGAGGACGCTTGAAGATGAAAACCTTGATTATGATAGTAATGCTAGTTCATCAAGCTTTGAGTTCCATAAAGGGGAGAGAGCAGCAGCACACAATTGCCTGACTAGGTCATACTCGAGACCTATGTCATCGAAGTGGAACGATGCAGAGAAATGGATAATGAAGAAGCAAGACTGTGCCAAGAAGAGTGCATTTCACAACCAAGTTAATCAATATCCTTTTATGCATATAGTGAGAGTTGCTCCAGAGATGGCGAACTACGATCACAGGCTGGCTGCTAATGGTCTAGCCGACACTAAGAGAGTAGATTTCTATCAGCAAGCTGTGCAGATACCATTTGGCAAGTTCTCTTTTATTCCTTCTGGAGCGCATCCTGTTTCAGCACAATCATGTGGAGGAAACCTACTATGTGATCAGTTTTCTCAGAGCAAGGATTTGAAGGAAGTGGCTCAGTTATCTTGTACAAAAAGTTCTGAAGAAGATACAACCGGTACATTTTCATATAGAGCTTTTTTAATAGTTTCTGTATGAAATTATATAGAAATTTGTAGACTGCTCATGTACGCGATGAACTGTGCATCCAGGTTGATTATCATGTTATCACCAAAATAAGCACTTGCATTATAATGTGGTTAAAAGCATTGAAATGAGGGTTAGGCCATTATAGTTACAAATGAATATGCTGAATTCTTATATGAGTCTTGAAACCATCATGTGGGGAGTATAAATAAGGGGTCTAGTCCGTATTCGGATCGTTTTCCCATTCTGCTGTGTGGATAGTGGATACATTGATCATATTTTTGTTTTTTTATATCTATTCTTTATCCCATACCATACGATTTGGCCTTGCAGCTATTCCTGCAAAGAGATCGGTTTGTATGAGAGACATGGGAACAGAAATGACCCCTGTTGCAAGTCAAGAGCCTTCTAGGACTGCTACACCTGTAGGGGAAACAACCCCGCTCCGAAGCCCAACATATTCAATTCCATCTACTCCTCGTAGAGGGGCACCGACATCGACGTCTTTGAACCGCAATATAGATGACGAGTCACAGCATTGCCCTGAAAATGGCAGGAAAGCATTATCTGAGAAAGAAACCAACCTCAAGACAAGAAGACAGATTGTAGCCCTTGGTGTCCAACTTGGCAAGATGAATATTGCTTCTTGGGAAAGCAAAGACGAGAAGGAAGACATTACATCTTCAGGTGATACCACTAGTATGGAGGAGCTTGAGCGGATCGAATATGAAAAACGAGCAGCAGCATGGGAGGAAGCTGAAAAGTCCAACCAATACTTTGCAAATTTATGCAGCTCTAATGCTTGTTAAACAATTTCCCATCGATTTATTTGTCTGAATGCGTGTCTCAATTTCTCAGGTATAAGCGTGAAGAGATCAAAATTCAAGCATGGGAGAGTCGGCAGAGAGCAAAACTAGAAGCAGAAATGCGGAGAATAAAGGTATCTGAAATCCTTTATTTCATCACGTACTCAAAATTAGTTCTAATTGTAACCATTTAAAGATGACTGATCTTTTTTTTATGTAAATTGATAGTATTAAAGAGTATACCCGGACCTGAAATTAATATGAAAGACAGTTGTGTTCATCTTAATCTCATATCTTCTGACATGATGAAACCGAATCGAACCTTGAAACATGGATGTTTTTAGGTTAAGATCTTGCAGTTGAGTTCATTGTCATTACAAATTAATGAAAAATATTTGAGTCGGGAAAGACTGCAATCATGACAGAGGATCATTTATGTGGCCATATGCGGAGCAACAAGTATTGATAATAACTATACATGTCTTCTACTTTTCAGGAAAAAGTAGATCCAATGAGAATCCAAGCTCAAGCAAAGATGGTGAAGAAGATTGCTATGGCTACACAAGATCAGAAGAAATCCGAGCAGCAGCTGAAGCTAGAAAGAATAGAGATGCAGAAAGAACAGCTTCTCAAGCAGAATACATTTGAAAAACCGGAAGAATGCCATTGTCTCCTTACATGTGTTGTGGTTGGTTGTCATAATAATAGAGTAGACAATCAATAAAAGCAAAGCTTGCTCATACACTTGTTGAGCCAAGTAACATCTTGTAACCTTGTTTTGAGCAGTATTGGTGATGGGGAAGGGGTGTTGCATTTAAAGAATGGCCTGAATGTTTTTGTGTTGTTTAATTGGGAAGATGAAATGAATAGCGCAATTGGTGAAATTAATGTTAATTCCAACACAATTTCAAAAAACAATTTAAAATAATAAATCTAACATCCTATTGATTCCAATTTGTAACAACATTTCAAAAACTAAAATTTGAATTTGAAGGGGAAAAAATTATGCATATCTCTAACTTATTACATCCAAAGTTGGGATCGACATGTATCCTTGAAGACTTGTTCAAATAGACCACTGGTAGGGGTGTAGAATAATTTGGACTCCTGGACGAATCCATACGGCTTGAAAATTTCCTTGGTGAAGGATAGGCCTATGGTCCATAGTAATGCATGAACATCAGTAATTGTCTCGTTCGGCTTCGGCTTCGGCTTCGGTGAACATATTGAGCTTGTTCAAGTCTCTTTTCCCACTTTCGGGCCACATGTAAAGGGTTAAATCCATACATCAATATCTGCTTTCTGATCTTGTTGGTTTTCTATACTATTTCCAGTAGTCTTTTGTTTTGAGGGTTTCAAGTTTCTGTGTCCAACTAGTCCTACCCAAACACTGCAATTGTTTTCTGTTTCACGCCATTAGAAACCGGGACCAGAACAATTGCCAAGCATTTTTCTGATCCATGGCCTTGGTTCGGACCAAGCATAAGCTTTTAGGATCAGTGGCTTTGCACTTCAAGTTGGATGACTTTTGGTTTTGGTTTTTGTATTTGTTCCATGTATTTCTTTCTTTTCATGAATGTTGCTGAAAGAATCAAACGGACTGTGTACATACAAAGATCTAATACACAAGATTTCTGTTTGTCAAAACAATATCTTCAATCTTCCCCATATTCATGAAGATGTAATGAAGGATCGATTAACTGTCCAAAACATTGACAAAATCACTCTCCTCCATTGCCAAATCTCTCACACCTAAATGAAATCTTCCGGTACTTTGGCAACAACAAGATGTGAACACACCAAGCTTCCAACGACACATTTTCACGCGTACTAAAACGAGTTTGATCGTGCCTTTTTTGCCCATATTATTACTTTTTTTTTCAGAGAACATGGGTTCTCTCGAGCAAAAACCATCGATGCGGTGCAAGTTAAAAGGCAAAAGGTACATCCTTTTTCAGTCATCCCCCACTTATAAACATAAAGGGCTACGAGAGGATGTCGATGGAAACCTCCTTTAATTTTGAAATGGGACTATTATTGTTGAAGGGGTGCCCTACCCTTTTTGTCACCATTTCCACCCCCCAAGCACTTGAGTGCTATCTATCTATCTATTGTGAAATGCTATGCCCCCACAACATGTAGTCACAAAAGCACAAAACTAACCCTTAATTTCCATCTTTACATTGTGGCCATCCAGTCCTACGTCCCTTAGAAAAAGAGGCCTCAACTAATATCTTAACTTTTTAATTTTATCCCATCTTTTTAGTACAAAGTGTAGTTTAGGGATAGAGAGACTGTATACAATCTTTTGATTCGATCCTCTAAGTTTGTAGAACACCAATCCCTTAAAAATGGCTGCATAATGGAATTGTGCTGAACTTTAAAAATTCGCTTTTAAATTTATTCAACTCTATCCTCGAGTGGAAATGAGGATGTGGCGTAAATTCCCATGAAAATTGAATGAGGAAACATGGCTCACATGTCAGGTCGACCGACGTAGACCCTGTCACATCAGTTAGGCTGAGGAATTATTGCAAACCGTCCATTTCATCTGATGCATGTGATTCCCTACTGTGGTTTTATTTTTGTCAAAAATCACAAGTGAGAGAGAGAAGAATAAGTGACTCGGAACGTTTCACTATAACATGTAAGAGTTCAGTCTCTATTTGACAAGACACTGTTGTTCTCATCAGCTGCCTTTTTAACAAGTGCATGAGGGCATAAAAACATGTCGTAGATACGATGTTTTAAAGCCGGGGGAGATGGTTTTTGTTTGCCTCGTTGGCTTTCAGAATCTTTTCAATCTGGTTTAAAGCACCATTTCAAAGATAGTTATGAAATAATCATTGTGTCGTCGAGATGAAAGGCAATGGAATCATCAAACGTTTTCCCAGCCAAAGCGGCATCATTTATTAGCCATTCGAACTAAGCCCCCGACACAGACCTTTTTAACTTGCAGGATATGTTCGAAAGACTACCAGTCTCTCGCTTTCATCAAATAGGTTGGATTTTGACAACCCCTCAACTAAGTCGATGAGCCAGTCGATGAGCCAGCCGATGATGATGGTGAAAGTAGGGTTAATGTTCACTTTCCAAAAGTTGGAATAAATGAACAAAATTGGGCCACGTTCACACTAAAGCTACGCAGAAATGGTTGATTTTTCGAGACCTGATTTCTATAGGGACCCATTTTTATACCAGATAAAAATAGTTTCAAAGATTTGGTAGCTTCAAGCTTCTTGTAATTTGTGCAGTAATTTTCACCTCATATAATAAGTTAGACTGTTCAAGAATCTGCAAGGGAAAAAGGCTAAAGCTTGCTTCATTAATATTGAGGATGATGTGCTAATAAATATGAATTTTACATATTTCCACAACATAGACGACGTAGATCTCTTATAGTTACAGTATTTGCTTATACGTATATATAACAGTTCAAGCTAGTGTTAGGCAGCTCTTTTAACCTATAAAAGGGTAGCAAGAGGCACTAACAATACAGGAGAATAACAGCACCTTAACAGGTAAAATCATTCAGTAGTCCAAGGACCCCACGGAAGCGATACCGGATTTCAAATTTCTCGAGTCCTGCCGGCTCACAAACTCATCACAACTGCCATTCATGAGCTTCTGAACCGGAACAGAGTTTAGAAGCTCTGGCCCTTGCTTGCCCATTTGCTGAACTTCTTGCGGTGAAAGTACCTTGATGCACCACACACTGTTCACAAACTCCCTGAAGGAAAGGAAATGGAAGTAAGTTTGGAATTAGAAAAAAGCATAGCATGTGGAGAACCCAAAATAGATTTAAATGCGTGCATCCAAAAGGTTCCAATTTTTTTTGGGGTTCATAAAAAAGGCTTCAATTTAACCCCAAGTTTTCACAGATGTACTACCATGGATGTGCATCGATGTTTAAAAGTATTTTAATGCAACAATTTCTTGGACAAATGGTACAAAGTAACTCACATGCATCCTATAGCTTGATACACAACTATATGCATGCAATAGGAGAATTGAAACTTACGGCCAGGGGTCATCACCAAGGAGAAGAACGTCATTCTCCCGATCGACAAATACAAGCTGCCAGCCTGATCTCAAAGGGTCCTCCAACTGGCCTTCAAGGCCAAACATGTGTGCAAGTTCACTACGCAGCTCATTGTAGCTGCTAAATTTGGAGATATCCAATGACCTCCCGAAAGACCCTGATTTATAAACCTATTCCACAGTAGAAGTATTCACATCAGTCGCAAAGTATCGAAATAATTTAGTATGAAAAAAAAAGGCTATAAAACTGCCAAACAGGTCAAACTTGCAACTGTAAAAGAACCAAAATTCACAAGCCAAATGGAACTTATAACACCAGCCAAATTAATTAATCTAGAACAGAAGGCAACTGACCTTAACAAAGGTTTTACTTTCTGGGTTCTCTTGGCCCACATTTTCTGGAGATTGCAAGAATCCCAATTCATTAATGCAACTGGAAGGTGTCATTGCTGGATTAACTGAAAAATCAGTGCCTGCAGTACTCACATAATTAGAAGAGAAGGGAATAGTAGTCGAGTCACTATCGCTGCCAACTCCCCTGAGGCTTGACATCCCATTTTCCAAAAGAAGTGACGAAGACTCTATATTAACGCCAAATAAGATATGGCTCTGTGGGTCAGTACCCCCTTGGTCTATCAAGCACTCCCTGCCAGGAAAGGGTGGCAACGAAATAGGATCATGAGAAATGTTGGTCTTGATAGGCCCCAACTGTTCCACCTGAGGCAGAACATATTGTGGAGATCCAGATGAGAGTACTTCAACAGCAGACCGCTTAGACGGCCATGCAGCAGAAATTATTACAGGGTTGGATCTAGGCAAGTTGAGCAAATTGGACGACTCATCCTGGGGAAAGGAACTCAAAGGAGAAATAACAGAGCTGGTCACAGTGTGCCCATTTGAATCAGAAAAACTCTGTTGATGGCATAGTGAAGGTATGGCCTGGAAAGGTGATGTATGGGACTGAGAGGACGAAGCATGCTGTGACATGGAAAACAGTGCACCAGAAATATGCTGTTGCTCGACCAGTTGCTGTTGCTGCTGCGACAGTGGACGCTGCGATTGCTGTTGGTGTTGAGGGTTATTAAATGAATTCTGCTGCTGCGGTTGTTGCTGAACAAGATGTGGCTGTGTTTGAGCCTCGGTCTGAGATTGAGACTGATGTTGGTTGTCTTCAACACCCTGAAGAAAGCCCTGTGGCTGAGACTGCTGCAACATCTGGAGCTGCATTAAAGCAGCAGGCCTGCAGGATAGATTTTGGGGTTGCTGGAACTGCAGAAGGTTAGTGGTTGCTTGTTTGGAAGGATCCACGGCTCTCATGTCTTGCAGTGAAGAAGCAGCCATAGCTTGGTGCACATCAGTCTGTAAACCGAGCATGGAATCAGCATCCAGCCTTGGCTGCATCCATGGTGTAACTCCAATCCCCTGAAAGTTCAGAGACTGCATTCCTCGACCAGCATCTCCTTGTAGCCACATAAGTGGAGAATTCATGCCTAAACTATCATCGTTGAAACCTAAGAACAAGAGCGTCGAATTTTAAAAAAATCTTAAAATGTCAAAAGTATTACATAGGAATGAAAGATAAAAGCTTTTTAAAAGTCAAATTCAACAAAAGTGAGGGTAAAAGAAATAAAACAAGTAGTTGAATTTAAACAAAAGTAAGGGTAAGAGAAATAAAACAAGTAGTTGAAGCTGAACAGCCATAGATTTAGCAGCAGACTAGAGTACCATAAGAAGGTAATCCTGGAGGCCATGGTCGCTTAAGCCTTAAAGGAAATGGAGATGGATACATAGGGAATGTTGTCAACGGTTCAATCTCCCACAAGGAGACTCTTGGCTGCCTTTCTCCAGCTGTTGATTCATCCCAGCCAACCTGCATGAATAGGTTCAAGTCCAAAAAATCTCATCATTGTAGATAGAAAATCCAAAACAAGAAATGAGCAAGATTCTCAATGAGAAAAGTTAAAGGTAAAACATTCTCAACATGCCTTGACTGATCGCCAATGTGAGTTTGGCCAACGAACAGGATCTAAGTCACTTATGCCAGTTATTGTACCCATGTATCTGGTAAATGCAAAGACCATGATGTTCAAAAGTAAAAACATATAACAATCTGATTCTTTTTAAAGGAAAGTTACTTTAAACATTTTGATTGAAATGTCAAAAAGCAAAAGGGTTTAACTTACCGACGAACACTTGATTCTTCAGTTTCAAACAGCATTCTAAAGCGCATTCCAACAGAAACTCGAGTATGATAGACAGCTTTAATATACTTTGTCAAAGGTATGACAAATTCTGATGGACTAGCCCTAAATTGAAGTGGCACACGTTTTAAAGGGCAGAGGAATCACTAGACAGAATACTTAAATGGTCAGATGCATTGCAATAGCACCATACCTTGGGTTATAAAATATAGTGAAGCGGCTATTGTTGCAGCTGCATGAGCAGCAGCAGCAAGAAGCCCTAAGTGCATGCTATCACTTGATAAAACTGATGAAGGCATTACAGTTTGAGGCCGATTAGCTCGTCGGATACCAAGAAGTAATTGATTTTTTTCATTCCTGTCAAAATAACCTAATATGTTGGTTTGAGCATCAAAATACCAATGACGCAAGCAGAAGTAAGGTGAGATACAAGCCAGCTACCTACCAGATAAAAAGCACTGAATCACCAGCAACTAGTCTTTTAGCACTTACAAATACGCTCCATCCTGTTGTCAAGAGGTGCCTTTTGGGCTGACCTGCAAGGCAGAAGTAGTCAATAACTGTTAGTAAAATTGTACTAATCAAATCACCCTGTGGCATACAGTGGCCAAAGTTATAATTAAGGAAATGCTAACTGTCTATGTGACAATTTCTATAACTACTTCAGCACACATGATGAATTAGAGAGGGAAAAAAAACCATTCTCTACAACTTTAAAAGGGAACATGTAGAAGGAAGTTGCATATTTGAAGAGGGAAAAGAGGACTTGTATTAAATTCACCCCGAAATATATGCCTAAATTTCCATTCATTATCATGCAAGTCCCGTGCAATCAACTCTTGGCAAGGAGGCTGCTGGGAGAAGTCCTGTTGGCAATCAATATCATAAATTTAGAAATAAATCATTTCAATTAAAAGCATAGGAGGACATCAATGCCCAAGGTGGCACAGTTTACCAGCGGAGGAAACACTTTTTCAGCTGCTCGGCGAGGAACAGAGAATCCTCCATGAGTGCTTGTATCACTAGCTGTTAATGTTTTACAGAAATAATTTGTCGGCTGTCTGCTGGGAGTGCCCAATTCTGCAGGAAGGTAAGCCTCCTTTTGTTCTTGCTGTAGAACAGGTAAGCTTCAATATTTTTAAGCAATGAATAAGACTGACAACATCACGATGAGAACCCATAAAAAATTCACATACCGGATTCAGTGGTTGCAAGGTCATTTGAGCATATACTTCATCTGTCTCAACATCTGCCTGAACTTGACAAGCTTTGAGGCTTTAGAGACAAGTCTATATGTTCATATATAATCAGAAAATCAAATTAAACAAGCCTTACATGCATGGTGACATTATGGAGTTGACATATAAGCTGTGGAGGTAAGCTTGGGTAATTAGGTACGGGGGCATCGACTTCCTTATTGGTTGACGCAGCTACCTATAAAAAAAAAACCCATCAATATATGTCTTAAAAACATGTTGGTTTGCAATACGATGACTAATTAAGTATAATGAACCACTATATCTGGAGAAAACCATATTGATAACTTGAGTTATTATATTTGATATGTCAACGGATTCTAACATAGGCACACTAAAGAGAAAGGGAAACCACTGTCAACACTCAACTCCTGTCCACTACGGTCCAGATCGTATAGACCTCTATCCTTCTTATATTAAAAAAAAACTTATCTCAATTTTATTTAAAAAGAAAAAAAAGGAAAAAAAGATTAGCTGTGCCGGAAGAGTCAAAGTCCACCTCTGATCTACAGGAGACTCAATTATGGTAGCTTGGCAGATGAGCCATACAGCAAGAAGGTATTTAGTGATAACAAAGAGACATTTAATAATCACCCTTGTTATTTACATTCTTTCAATTAATACGAAAAGGACAATAATGATATATGCTGCAAAATAACTGTCGCTTTTCCCTAGAGAACAAAATGATAGTGAAACATTCAGTATTCATAATTTACTCTGGACGAAGCAAACGCAAGTTGATACTTGCATAGTGCATACCATACCGGCAGCAACACAAAATCTGGTTCAAAAATCAAACGATCATAGCAAGATAAAGCTAGATTTAAGTATACCAACCTGTTCGCTATGACCCTGCGGGAAGTAAACAACCCTACTTCCGACTGGAGGCAGAGACACAAGAGGCCCCGCGCATGCATGCCAAAGTTCAGAGTTCAGAACTCTCTTCTCTCCTGCAAACTCCATTTCGCATTAATTTAAAAATACTTGTAACAAAATTAAAAAAGAAACTGAGTTAATATTGTTTACAACCCCCCCCCCCGGGGCGGGGGATGAGTAAATTAAACATGGAATCTAAAGGATCAATGGATGTCAAAAAGATAGAAGAGACAAACTTCCAACAAACATTGGTAAAATAAAGCTTCTGCAGAGCAAAAAAAAACGTGTAAGACAAAAAACCATATTAAATCTCCGCTTCAAATGACGAAAACGATTAATAAAATAAAAGCAGAGTTTATAATCCTTACGGAAAAATTTTAGAGGGTAGATGGTAAAAGGGGGAAATGTTATAACATCTCCTACATAATCTATAATCCTTAGAGAGAAAAATATTAAAGAAGCATACCTTCCGGAGGTTGTGGATTGAACCCAGCTGAAGAGAGCCTCATTCTTTTTCTAAATAGTTCAATGAAAACTTTAAATCCTAAGTTTATACGCTTAGGAAAAAGATTCCCACAGCGAAACTACTCCTTTTGGCAACACCAATTAAGCAGCAAAACCCTCCAAACAAGGACACGCGCACTTAAAAACCTTTATTACTCCTGTGTCTCCACAAATTAAAAACACTACGCCTAACAACAATCAGTTTATCAAAAAGCTGACAATTTGCCCATCGAAAAAGACTTTAACGACAAGCAAAAACACAAAGCCCCAAGACTTGAGGTCTTATTCTGTTTGTTTCTTCAACCGAACCCGATTTTACTACAAAAGATGACCGCTTTCAGCTTCATCCGCCTCCAATCGATCTTCTTCTCCACCCAAATACCCCAAGTGTTGCTCTTTTGAACCAAAACATATAGTTTGCTCTTACTTATGTTCCAACACTTCAGCCCTAAACGTCACCTCTAACAAACAAAGCCTTTTGAAGTTTTGATCCTTAAAGTGTGAACAAACACCAGTATTTTATTCGAGTCCCCGAAGCTTGTACCCAGTAATACCAGCAAGCAAAAAGCACCCAATAGATCTTAACTAGAAAGATAACGATTTTTCCCAGTCTCTCGCCAACAGGGGGTGGGGAGTTTACAAAGAAAAATGCTCAGATCTTTGTTCTGACTCACAAACCAAAGATAAAACGATGCAAAGGGAAGAAGCTAAAAGAATCAAATAGTAGGGTAATTATCACTACGTGCATTTGGGTTTTCTTCTCTCAAAGCTCTCTCTCTCTCTCCCCCCTTTGCAGAATCCAACGGTTTCAAAAGAGGTATTGAATATTTATAGGACTATTGCCTGCAGAGGTATTGAATATTAATATTGAAGATTTTCCAGGTTTTTGAGGAAGAGGCTGTTTGTTTTTTTGTTTTTTTAGCAATGGAAATACAGGCGGTGATCAAATAGGGAGTAAGCAAAGGAAAGGGATACAGTTCCCCGCTGCTTATTACCAGTAGAAAATGATTGGCGCCGAGCCTTTAAGCTACCGAGCGAAGCCTGAGCCGGGGCAGCTGGTGGGTAATTGGAGTCACATCAACGGAGAACAGATGGGGACGACCAAATCTATAGATAAAAAAATGGATGGACCCCACAAATATATGCTCTGAGCTGTTGCTTTTTTTTTACATGAAATATTTATAATTAAGATTTTTTTAGTTTACATTTTTAATCGGCGTTTTTACCAAAAATAAAAATCACCCTAATACACCATTTTAGAAAATTTTATTAATCTAGTACCTTCCCAGAAAAGCACGGATAATAACGTGACGCCACGTAATGAAAGGCACAAATGATCATTCGTGTCTTATTCGAGCTAGCCTTATGTAAGAATAAGGCGTGAATCATCATCCTTACCTTTATGGGGTTCTGACACTCGTCTTTCACTATTAGTTTCAAATTTCTCAACCTTCTCCCCTCGCATATAAATAACACCCCTTCAACCGTAAACATCACCACATCAATTCTTCATATATTTGTTTCATTGACTCCTTCAATCTTTTGTTGTAAGTTAATTTTTTAATATATTATATTTATTTTATATATGATTATTTAGAAAAAAATATTATACTAATTATTTTCTATTATTTTTTGCGTTTGTAAAATTAGAAAATAAGATCATACGTCGATACATTTTTACCGATACAGTAACAATATAAAATTATATTATTTAAATTATTGTTAATATTTTTAAATTTTTTATTATGTTATATTTTAATTCATATATTATTATTTTTTTAATTAAGCGTATTTCATCTATTGTTTTTGCAGATATAAGACTCAATCTTTCAAACTCTCATAATGACGCGTATTTCAGCTATTGTTTACTATGATGGAGAAATTTGGGAAAATGAAACCGGCGCCGTGTTCGTACCAAATCATTATGTCAAAATATTCTTGAAGATAAACATAACTCTTAAGGAGATGATAACGAAGATTTCAAGGAAAGTTCATGATGGAAGTACTAGAAGACTGTCATCGCTTCAATAAAGATTTCCAACATCGGTGTTTTCGTTAACTTATACAGCGTTCGAACTATCGAACGATGACGATGTTACAATGATGGTTGATTCTCAAAATCATTATTCAGACGCCGATACGGAAATATATGTGAAATTTGTTGAAGTGTGTGTTGTTCGTGGTATGTCATTATGCTCCCACTATGGGTTGGATCACAAGTTAGTCAAGTGGACAACCCAACTACAATAATGTGTAATGATTTTAACATCATAAAGGGGAATCCACATCATGGTGTTATCCCATCAAGTTCAATGGGGGAGACATTCATCAACAACTTCTTACAATTTGTACCGAGGTGGCTCCACAAACAATCTGTATGGCAACATCGCGTCCAGTTCATGGGGAAGACATTCATATGCCAATTTCTTTGACCTGAAGATGGAGATGCCCTCGATACAACAATCTGTGCAGTACCCATTTGACACGATACCTTCAAGCTCTATGGGGAGGCATTCAACTGCAAGCTTCTTCGACTTCGATGTCGAGATGCCTTCAAGTTCAAGGGGAAGACATGCAACTACCAGCTTGCTCGACCTAAATGTCGACAGTGTGGAGGAAACCTCATCTCCATCAGAAGAACCTTTTTGTGAGCCAGATGCGGATGGTGTTGAGAATAAACTATTCGTTCACCCAGAATCACTGCAGTTTAACATAGACTCCGATAATGATGATATAGATGAAGTTCCCACAAATACGGTATACACTGAACCTCCAACTTAAATGTATAAAACTGACTATGGTGCAATGTACTGGCCAGAATTTACGAATATGCCTAATGCCAGTGACTATAGATTTAACTCATCAGTCAATGATGGTGAGTTATATAAAGGAATGGAGTTTTCATGCAAATAAGAAACGATGATGGCAATTAAGAATTATAATATTCGTAATTATGTTCATACATAGTCGACCGCTCTACCAATGAAAAGTATGTCTGCCACTATGTCTAACGTGATAACGAATGCAATTGGATGGTTTGCGTATCGAAGAGGAAGAAAAAAAAACAATATATGAGAATTAACGATATACAACGGTCCTCACATATGTTGAGCTGGAGGGATCAACCAGGATCATCCCAACTTGGACTCCGACATGATTTGTCAAGCCATCATGCCAATGGTAAAAACAAGCTCTCATATAACTATTGTTGTGTTGATTTCAACTATACAATCGCAGTATGGGTATATCGTCTCATACAGGAAAAACATGGAAGGCAAAACAAAATGTCATTAAAAAACTTCACGGCAAATGGGATGCATCTTACAACGAACTACCAAATTTATTTAGGGTGGTGCGCAGATTGAATCTCGGGACAATTATGGATTTCGAAACTTGTCATGCATACCACAATGATCAAGTGCTTCGCGATCAATGCCAATTCTACCCGTTTTTTTACTTACCCACAATGCATCAATGTTGTGAAATACTACAAGCCCGTGGTCCAAATCGACAGGACATTCTTGTATGGAAAATACAAACAAGTTTTACTATTGGTAATTGTCCAAGATGATAATCGCAATATACTTTCAGTTGCTTTTGCCCTTGTTGAAGGAGAATATATAGATTATTGGGTTTTTCCTTCGAAACTTACACTTACATGTTATCACGAGGAAAAATATGTGTCATTTCAGATTGCGGAGCTGAGATCAAAGCAACAATGGATTTTTTTGGTCCAATGTGGCAACCACCCTTTTGTCAAACATAGGTATTGTATCTGACACATTGCTACAAACTATCATGGAAGGTTCAAGAAGAATGATGAACGCCAATTACTTGTGCGCATGGGTATGTCAAAAATGTTATTTTTTGTCAATCATTTTTATTTTTATAGAAACAAAGTTAGTAAGTTCTGCATTTAATGCTCAGGTTACGAACTACTACCTCAAACATTTGATTACATGCTTCAAGAGTTGCAGGGAAATAACGAGGAAGAATACGATTACATCAGCATCATCAATAAAGAAATGTGGACAAATGCATATGATGGTGGATATCGATATGTACACATGACGACCAACTTGGCTGAGGCTATCAATTCAACCTTAAAGGGGGCACATCATTTACCAGTAACGGCTTTGGTAAAAATGATATATTTTCGTTTGGGAGTGCTTTTTCCCAAACTCGAGGACAGGCTCAAACTTGGATGCAAAACGGTCATGTCTATCACCCTAAATTAGTTATAGATCTACAAAAAATAATTGTTACATCAAATGGAATGTCTGTAACAGGCTTCTCTAGAACCCATTAATTGTTTCGTGTTACAGAGATCCACAACCTCTTCAAGAGATTCAAGCTAACTCGTTCAGAGTTAATCTACGAGACAGATGGTGCGACTGTGAGTTTTTTCAAGCTCTGAAGTATTCATGCTCTCATGTCATAGCAGCTTGCTCGCATATCCATCAAGACTATAACCGTTTTGTGAAACTTGTATACCTACTATCAGAAGTGTTTAAGGTATATAAATTTGAGTTCCCCCATAGGTAATGAGAAATAACCTAATTAGGTTCAGAATTCGCTTCCGATTGTACTATATTCGTCTTTATTGAGGAAGCACAGTCCTCCATAATCCACTCGTATTCATTGTGATAAGGATATTCTAAAAACGTATAGAGAAAACAAAAGATATGGGCATATAGAACCCCATGACACAGTATAAAAAAAATGTCCATCTTTTTTGTCATCAAGTAACCATTGATGTTGTGCTTGATGTAGTTGTTGTTTAAGATAGATAAGTTTTTGTAATTTAGTTTTCATTTACTTTTAGTTAATGTCATTTGATCATCACCGATTAATTAAACAATAAAACAATATAAGAAAATGGATTAAAAAACACTAAATAATAAAACAATTCGCTTAAATTAAGTAATAAACAAAATAAATTAAGTAATAAAAGAAAAAAATTACAATTGTTTGTAAATAAAAAATTAAATACAAATATAATGAAATGTATGAATCTATCGATGCCTGTGTCTTGAATGTGTTCCGCGGGGCGGTGGTTGTCTGTCTCGAGGAGGATTTCTTCTTATAACTTGTTCTGACTCCTCATTATCATAATCACCATCATCATCATCACCACCACCACCACCACCACCACCATCATCATCATCAGGAGCAGGTACATTTTGTTGATGAGGGACAAATGACGATGTATCACCTCCATAGAATAATGACCCTAGAGATGTATGACTGATTATCCCACCGTTTATAAAAAACTGACAAAACTGAGAAAATACTGACATCGATGAGTGAGAAAACAGTACATAGGTGTCTGTGCGGCGTCCATCGGTGGTGAAGTTGGACACGCCAAATAACCAACATATGAACCCAAGTTAGATGTTCAAGCATAGAACCATAATATCCTCCATGAGGGATCATATAACTCTGCGAAGGTGGCGGCATATGGTATGGGAACAGCGGTGGTGACATCTGATATGGTTATAGAGTCATTTGAAATGGCTGCAGAGTGTACAGTGGTGTAGACGATGGCTGCTGGTAAGGTTCCGGTGCTGCAGCTGAGGAAGAAACGAAAGCGTCTGCTCTCCGTCCACGAATCGGGGGCGATGAGGTTGTGTCGGTGGATGTCTTTGTCGACGTCGATAAATGCTCCAGCCTCGTGCTTTCTTGAAAAGTATAAACATTTTCTTGTTCTTATTGAACCACTCGTAATAACCATCTACAACTATCAAATGGTCTACATAAATGGGTTCTTTACATGGAATATGCCCACGTCGATCCTCTCATATCATGACCTACTCATAAAGCTTATGCATTCAGTCCACTTCATTTTAACGCTTCAATCGGTGTTATGCAAATCGTCGAGATTTTTAGGTGCTTCCAGAATTGATTGTATGAAACCAAATTGGCAGAGC